AATTGCATGGTTGTAAAATATATTCTGAAATGAATATGCCTATTGCAAAGTCCATTAATTAAGAAAACAATCTTGATCATGTTACTTTCATTGATATTTAGAGTAATTATTACTATACACGACAAGAGTGGAACTTCAAGTATCACCGAGATTACACGGGGAATAATATCAGTTGTGTTGTCAGAGGGTCTGGAAATAGAACAGTGATCAAAACAAAGCAGTTTGGGGACATTCTCTGTAAGTGGATACAAGGATATGTAGTACCCTAGTCAATATGTGTTCTCTCTTTCTTTCTCTCTGAGAGACAATCATTTATAAACTGAGTAAAAATTAATTGTGTTAGAGTTGTCTTTAAAAAAAGCTGATTTTAATCATTTTTAACCATTATATCTGACAGATGACCCAGATTTAGTTGTTGGAGGGAGCTCTGTTGTCGAGGAGGGAGACGCCTTAAATTTGACCTGTGAGGTGGTGGCAGCCAATCCAATGACAAGTGCCTCCTGGAGTGGGGGAGGTGATATACATATAATTCATGTCTTAGTCTTACCATCACTATTTAAAACATCGGTTTATTAAGAAAAGACCAGAAGAATGATACAGTGACAAAAAATCAAATTTAAGAATTTGACCTTGAGTATGTGGATGAGGTTGTTTTTGTTTTCCTATCCTTTTCAGAAATATCTGCTTCATATTACTTTATAACTAGCACACAATTTTTCCACAAAAGTCTTTCATCTCATAATGTTTATAAATTGATCTTGCAAACAAACAAACGTTTGTCTTACTAGTGCTTCAACTTTCTGTATGCCAGTATCTACTCGTTTTCTTTCAGTGAGTCAGTCCTTGGTGATATCCGATATGCCTTTATCTACTTGTTTTCTTTCAGTGGGCTAGTCCTTGGTGATATCTGACATCAAGAGGAATCAGAATGGAAACATGTTTACCTGTAGTGCCCAGAATTCTGCCGGCAGCTCCTACCTGGAGCTCACAATCACAGTTCAGTGTCAGTTTTCTTTTTGCTGAATACAAAACCTTGTATCTAAAAATTTATAGAAATATAAAATTATCTTTCAACATCATCAGAAAATAAGTCACTTTTTATTTTCACTTGTTAATTCCCAAAAACTCCGATCCTCAACCAAGAAGAATAACTCTTCTATTAGTTATTTGATTTGAAAAGTCTCAAAATTAGTCTTGAAATTGAAATCTTTTCATGCCACAATTTTTATTTTATATATTTCAATATGATTCATGATTCTTTGAAGTCTTAGAAACGGACTTGAAAAAAAAATGATATTTGTATCCCATGAAGTACACAAAATAAATGCATTTTCGTAGAAATCAATTTCCTTTAATCTAGTCTTTGATACCAATGTTTGTTAGCATGATATGCAGATAGAAGTGATCAGTGATATCAAACAAACGTTTGATTTACACTATGCGACGGTCACTGGCAAAATCTGCCCCTCCTTCCTACTGTTCCAACCCAGTTCTTCCCTTTCCCTTCCAACAGTGCGTCGCCAGGTGTTCTTTGGTGGTCCTTGATAGAGGTATTGATCTTGTTCTTTCATACAGTCGTTGGCTAGTTTTCTTTTTTTTTGCCAGTGTATTTTTAGGATCTCCTGAGGCATGTTCGATCAAACGTATCAAGCTTTCGTCGTCTTTTTCTGTTGTTGTCCGTAGTTCAGCACAATACAGCAACACAGAACATTTGTGTTGAAGTTTGGTATTTGTGCTGTATTGTGCTGACTTCCATACCTTGGCAAGCGATGCAAAAGCGATCCTGGCTAAGCCTAGCCTTCTCCCAATGTCTGCCTCAGTTCCTCCGGTCTTGTCCATTGTGGCACCCAGGTAGGGAAACGTTTCAATCTCTTCTATTTCTTTATCATTTATCCTAATGGCATCCGTCTTATTGTTGGTATTTGTCATAATCCAGTCTACTACAATGATGAACAGGAACCCAGACATAACACAACCTTGTTTTTCTCCTGTCTGTACCTTGAACCAGTCTGTTGTTCTTCTATTCTCTATTAAACAACTAGAACTTCCATCATATAATTTCTTGATGATGTCCACATATATGTCAGGAATTCCATACTGCCGTAGTATGTCCCACATTTTCTTTATTATTTCTCTATTTCTTTATTATGCTGTCAAAGGCTTTTTTAAAGTCTATGAAACTTATGTACAGTGGTGTTTGCCACTCTATATATAGATTGTTCTAAAACATTTCTTAGAATGTAAATCTGTTCTGATGTTCCTCTTCCTCTTCGATATGTAGCTCGCTTAATGTCTCCAGTTGTTTGATATGTAAAATATGTACTGAATAGGCACATCAATTTTGAGAATGTGTGTATTTTTTCTTGGGGGAGGGGGCAACTTACCTGAAAAAATGTTTGACAAACAGAAAGAGGAGATTATTCTAAACTAGAAAATTTCATCCTCAGGGCGGGGAGTGTATATGTGCAGAAGGGCCGGGGGGGGGGGGGGTAATTTTCATCTTTTAGATACATTTGCATAAGATAGTTTCACTGCCTATACAAGTACTGTATCAAAACGTGTGAGCTTGTGGGAAGGTGGGATCAACTGGCTTTTTAATTAACGTTTTATACCCAAATCTTATTAAGCCAAATTAGAATTTGAGTTGCGATACTAAGTCTGTATATAACCTCGCTTATTTAAATAAATCAGGTAATTGAAATCGGTACAAATCTGAGAAAGCTGAGTAGATCAGGAGTCTGCATCATGTTTCTTGCAAAGTCAAATGCACATCACTCTTTAGTTATTTCAAAATTAAGGAATAATTAAATAAAGAAGTAAATAAGAGAGAAAAAGAAAATATATTTTCGACGCGAGTTCCGATTCCAAAGAGACTGACTGAAAATTATTTAAATGTAATGTAATAAGTGTTCAATTCATTTCCATTTTATAGATGTCACAGAAGTACATGTATGTTGTTTATTGATAACCATAATATCAAATGCCATTGCATTATTAATTCAAACGCAAAGGTGATTTATAAATTCTACACTTTGAGATGCTCCCCCTTATTTAAAGTCCGAAGTCTGAAGTCTGTTGTCCACTGTACGCTATTCCGCAAATGTCCAGTCTGTCCTCTAGTCCATCTATAATTCTGTCGATCACTATTCTGCAAAATACTTTAGATGGCACAGATAGCAGTGATATTTCTCTATAGTTGTCACATATTGTCAGATTTCCTTTCTAAGGTATTATGACAATGGACGATCTCTTCCAGTCTTTGGTATTTCCTGCTCACTGATGATTCTGTTGAATAAATTTGTAAACCCTGATGTTGAATATGCCCCTTTAGTAGTTCCCCATTGATGTTATATATGCTGGGACTCTTTCCATTCTTCATTTAATGGATTACTTTTTGACGTCCTCTTCTCTTGTTTGTCAATTTCATTAATTCTGTTCTCTTGGATGGTGCATCCTTCAGGTAATTCTGTTGTTTCTGTTGGAACATTAAAGACGTTTACAAAATCAAAATGCTCTCACCATCTCGCCAATATTTTTCCACCCTCAATGATTAGGTCACTATTCTTGGACCTTATGCCACTTGTCTTGTGTCTTTTTCCCACAAAACTGCTTGGTCAGTTGGTAAACTTCGCTCAGACGGTTTGTATTTGCTGCATTCTCTGCTTGGTTAGCTATATTTTCCAGATTATTCATTTAATCAGCTCTTGCTCTTCTTTGTCTCTGGTATCATATTCTTCTCTCTTAATTTCCTTTATTGTCTCTGAATTTCATCTTCCTATTTCTTCCTTTAGTTTTCTTCTTTTATCCATGGCTCTGTGTTTTCTTTTCTTCTGGCTCAAGATCTTTGTTGTTTCACTGTATACTTCTTTCACAATGGTCCATTTTTCATTGATTGTGTTTTCATCATCAGCCAGTTGCTGAAACCTATTTTTTAATTCAAGTTGGAATCCTTTGCTTACTCTTGGATTCTTCATCTTGTTGACATCATACATCTTCCTGTTGCTTTCCTTTGGATTTAATTTTCTGTAGAGCTTCATCTTAACTCTAGCCAGTACTAGATGGTGATCTGAATTGGCATCTGCACCACGCATAAACTATACGTCACATACAAAGATTCCCTGTACCTGCCATTCACCATTACATGGTCAATTTGCTTCTTATCTCTTCCATTAGGTGATTCCAAAGTAAGCTTATGTATGTCAAGGTGCTCAAAGAGGGTTCCGCAGATGATTAAGTTATTAAGAGCACACATTTCTGCTAACCTCATGCCGTTTTCATTCATTATAGTCCCAATACCCTTTTGTCCCATAACTCTTTCCCATCCTTCATTCGACTTTCCAACTTTTGCATTTGCATCTCCCATTACCATCAGTAAGTAAGTCTTTGGCACTTTTGAAATCTGTCTTTGTAGCTGTTCATAGAAGGTGTCCGTATCTGCTATGTCTGCTTCGTTTGTTTGATTATATAATTGTTGTATTGTTTGCTAAACAAAGCGGGAGAAAAAAAACAGGATTCAGGAAACATTCACAGGATTCCATTCCATCAAGCTTTGTCGGCTTTTCCTGCTAAGAATAAGCCCTACTCCTCTATGATGTTCTCCGGAGAACAAGATGGTCTCTCCAGAGGTTGTCTTTAGTTCACCAAAGCCTGTCCATCTTACTTCACTTAGTCTCATTGTGTCCAATTCATGCGTAGATCTAGAGGGTGGGGGGGGGGGGGGGTCGGGGCCTCCGAACCCCCCTGGAATTTTCAGAGTTATTACATTTATATACTTAACCAAGTAAAAAGTGACCTTGGACCCCCCAATAAAAAGCAGATCCCCCCTAAATAAATTGGATATGGTTAAGTTGATATGAAAAGTCATAGGTATGAGGAAGATTGGGAAGTCGACGACTACCCATTAGTCCCATTGTGTCCAATTCATGCGCGGATCTAGAGGGGGGGGGGGGTCGGGGGGTCCGCCCCCACCCCTGGAATTTGCAGAGTTATTACATTTATATACTTAACCAAGTAAAAAGTGACCTTGGACCCCCCAATAAAAAGCAGATCCCCCCTAAAAAAATTGGATATGGTTAAGTTGGTATGAAAAGTCATAGGTATGAGTAGGGCTGGGTATTGGCCCGAGATTTCGTATTGCGATATATTGCGATATTTTAAACTGTATTGCGATACGTATTGCAATATTTTCAATGTAATAAAAATGGCAATTTCTTACTATATTTATTTTAATTTACATGCAGAATGTACATAACTATGATAAGTAACCAACACGAAAAAAAAATCTTGTTGATTTCCTTTAAGTTATACTCTGAAATGTTCCCCCAAAACAACTTCTATCTTACTGTTTGGCTTAATAACAAACTTTCATAAGTCCATTTTTATATTTAATGACAAAATTCCTTAATCTAAGTATATTGCCAATATATCGATATTACAAAATCGTATTGCGATACGATATTTTTTGTCACTGTATTGCAATATATTGAAATATCGATATTATTGCCCAGCCCTAGGTATGAGGAAGATTAGGAAGTCAACGACTATCCCCCCCCCCCCCCCCCCCCCCCCGAAATAGAATTTTCACGTTTTGGCTTGTTTTTGGCTTGTCAACAAATTTCTGGGTTGGATTTCTTTTTCACTTGTGTGGAACCCACCCCCCCCCCCCCCCCCTCCTGGAAAAAATTCCTGGATCCGCGCCTGCAATTTATATCTGTTAAACTCTTTTAGCTGCTTTTCCAATCTGGAACATTGTTCTTACGTTCCAACATCCGATCTTGGTGATGTTTTATGTGTTGTTATGGATGACATCTGCGTTCCTTTTAGGCCGTTAGGGTCCTCTCGGCTTTTCCTAATTGCCGTCATTCTCTCGAATTCCCAATGAAGGTAATCCTCATCTGGAATCTCGCATGTCGCGCTTGCCCTACCTTCACTGGTACTCATTGTTGTAACGGTTTCCGTAATCAATTGTTTTTATGGAAGGAGGTGATTAGCCTCGAGTCCAACCTCCACGTTTATGTCCGGGGGCCAACATAATAGTTGCTAACGGTATCTTACTAAATCCGGATTGTAGCCAGAGTTTTCTTTCTTACATGGTTTGCCAACCAAGGTTTTCGGGCCTCATCTTTCCGCGCGCCCTTGCAAAGTTAGCCTGGGACCGAAAGGTAACCAGTATCCGTCTGCTTCCACGTGAGGGCATCGCATAGGACTTGTTGTGATGATGCTATGTACTGGCAGGAGGAGACTTACAAAAATTGTTTGATTTGTTTCCCTTTTTGCATTGCTGCTAGCAAGCGGTGAGGGCTGAAAGCGAGAGATGACAAGCACACATACACTAACACCAACACACTAGACGCATCCCACAACATTTAGCAGACAAAAGAAACAAAATTACCGAATAAGTATGAAAACATGCAACATTTACTGAAATACACTTGAGAATTATGATTTTCCCTATCAAATATTATTAACTCTAATGATGAAGCAATGCAGTGGGTAAATACATATTATTTTGAGAACTCAGAGACATTTTTGCGAGCATTTTTAATTACCTAACTCCTGATTTTAAGAACCTTAATGTTAAAATCTGCAATAATAATATATATGTTATAAACACTTTTAAAAATTCATTGAGAAAAAGCGAAAATAATTTCATTTCGAAGTGAAATTCTATGCACAATTCATGTATTTCTGAGAACTAGGTACCGATTTGATATGTGCCCTACAAAAGATGGGACTTAAATATTTTTTCCTTATTCAATTTTACAGATGGACCCGAGCTAAGTGTTCCCTCTAAAATATCATACAAGGAGGGAGTGAATGCCACAATCTACGGCTCTGTGTCAGCGAACCCTCCCGCCAAACTGGCCTGGAGAAGGGCAGGGAACAGCACGGTTCTCTCAACTGACGGCAATCTATTTCTGGAGAACGTCTCAAGGGACCAAGCCGGGATGTATGTGCTGGAGGCTACCAGTGTAAAACAAAGGGGAAATAACTCTTCACAGGAGGTCACCAGAAATGCCTCTACAATATTGGAGGTCTTGTGTAAGTTCAAGTCCCTAAAACAATGCTAATTCAGACATTGATAACTAGAATAATATTATGATATTAATCATTGAATGCTTCATGATAGTTTTTCAACTGGCTGAAAAGAGATGAGTTACACATGTTCAGTAGTGTCTGGTCAATTCGAACCCTACTGCAGACCATAGCACCATCACCTATCCTTTGACTTCCGTGGATGTCGTTGGGGCACCTTCGAAGACTTACAATGTATTCACCACTGACATCCATAATTCTCTGATTTCTGTCGGTCACTCTCTGGGATTCTGGAAGGCTCAGTCCAGTCCATTAAAGAATGTTATCTTCCCACCTCTTCTTTTGTCTTCCCCGTCTTCGTCCTCCTTTAATTGTACCTTGAAGGATTGTCTTTGCAAGGCCACTTGAACGTGAAACGTGGCCATACCACCTTAGTTTCCGATCCTTCCTTGAAGCCTTCCGCTTCTTGACAGTGAGAAGGTCATTGTGAGATCCTATACTTCTGTGACTGTCCTGCGGACCTCTTCATTGGTCACATAATCAATGTAATGGATGCCTAGTATTGCATCTCATCTCAGTGCTTACAATTCTCTTCTCTAGCTCTGCAGTGAGAGTCCAGGTTTCACAGGCATACAGGAAGACCAACATAGCAAGGGAGCGCGTTAGCTGGATCTTATAGAGCACAGTAATATTTCTGTCTCTTCAGATGGTCTGTAATTTTTCTAATGCTGTAGTTCTTTGTGCTATCCTTGCTATAATTTCTGGTTTGGAACCTTCGTCTGATATGATGGATCCGAGATACTTAAATGTCTTCACTATTTGCAGACATGTTCCGCTGATTATGACTTTTGAGGCGATGCCTTGAGTGTTGTTCGTCATCTTTGTTTTTTCCGTACTTATCTCCATACCATATACTAATACGTATGTTGTCGATACTTGCTGATTTCTCTTGTCTTAAAGCATTGATTGCCGCGTCGACTTCTTCCCGTAAATTCGGAAGTGAATCCTCCTCTGTATGTGCCAGTGGGCAGTTTGATACTGCTTGGTCTCCCTCAAGTTGGTTGTTGTATAGCTCAGAGCAGTATTCTGTCCATCTACTAGTACCTTATATATCCTTCGCCTCAGTTAGGCATTTTCCGGACTAGTTTTGGATGCTTGTTGGTCTTATCTGTTTCTCCTTGGTGAGGTATTTTACCACTTGATACGCCTTCTTAGTGTTGTTTCTTTGAAGGTTTTCTTCGATTTCAGAACACTGATTTCCAATCCAATTTTTTTTAGCTTTATTCATCTCCTTTCTGACTTTGTTGTTTGCTCTTTCTGCGTTGTCTTCCTTATTTTTCAGCTCCCGTCTCCTGTCACTTGGCTCCGAGATGTTGGCGTTAACCCATGGGTTTTGGGGCGCTGATGTTTCCCCCAAAATCTCATTGGCTGTTTAAGCTATTGCTTCGTTGAAGACATGACCACTATTTCGAGGCCGAAGTTGTTTTCATCCCGTGAAGTCAGGGCTGCAAATTTTCCTCCAATCATCGCCTGAAATTCATGCCCTTATATGAAATTCCCCACTCTTTTAGCGAGATCTATTAACTTCTACAGGTTAAATCGAAGTCTTGTAAACTTGGATTTCCTGATTGTTTTAGATGGACTTTGAATGACACCATGACCAGATTGTGGTCGCATCCTATGTCCGCACAAGGAAAGGTACACGTGCTTGCCGTGTTTACCACTGCTCTGAAGCGCTTTTGGACCATAATGTTATTGTAGTCAATCTGATATCGGTTTTGGCCGCCTGGGTTAGACCATGTCCAGTTCCTTCATGGTTTGTGAACTCCCAGTGTATTTGCCAGCTTAAGCTTGTTGGTAGCGGCGAACTCAAGCCGTCGATGAACTCTTTCATTTGTTGTAAGGATAATATCCCTCCAGATTGCTTGAGCATCTTTTCCAGCCTTAGCTTTCCAGTTACCTTGTACCACTAAAATGTCTTTCTTATATGTTTCTTCCATGATTTCCTGTAGTTGGTTGTAGAAATCATCCATGTATTCGTCACTGTAATCATTTGTACGGGCATATGATTGCACTACCGACATGTTAAATGGTGCTGCATTCAGGCGGATCGAGATCAGTCTACTGGAGACCGGGTGGCATCCCATGACTGTACGGATGGTATCTTTATGTACCAGGAAACCCATTCCTTCTTTGTGTTTTTCATCCCGTCCGCTGTATTACACACTGTGTCCGTCCATTGTTGTTGTTTCACCTTATTTCCATCGCTTTTCACATAAGCCCTCAAGGTTCTAGTTATATCTATTCATCTCATAAAACAATTATTCTATCCTTCCCTTTTGCCCTAAGGTTCTTGCATTCCAAGTGCCAGGGACGATGTTTTCTCTGGCAAGTATCTTTGTTCTTGGGGCACCATTTGTGTACATACATCCGCTCTGGTGTGTGGTAGCGGAAGGCGCGGTCCTTGTTCCGAGACTTTATAAATTCAGTTATAGTTGTATTCATCATGAGTCTTGGTCGATGTGACCTGGCGGCGCCGATCCCTCTCTAGGCCGCCAGCCACAGCCGAAGTTCCCCCGTAACCTGGAGGGACGCATTGGCCCTGGACACATGGTCGTTGAGCTATTCTGGAAGCCCTTCCGCCCTGGCTGGTGACCGCTGTCGCAGCTCTCTGCCCTCTCAGTTTTTCAGACCATAGCATAAGGCCCCAAAACTGTGTTTTTGTTTTCAAGTTAACATTATATATCAAATAAAAAAAAACTTTAGAAATTGTTTTGTAAACATGTTTGACACCATTGAAGCCTTTGAGGCTTTTGAAATGCAAGGGTTACTATTAAGTGACCGCAGTGCTCACCGTACCTTTAGATCTAGTTCATTGAAAAAAAAAATTAATCAAAGTACTGAAAGTACTGAAAAGCGGTTAGCATGCTTTCATCTAATATGTACCGAAAAAGTGCATAAAATGATGATATTTAAATATGCATATCTTTGTCCAATGTCATCAGAGAAGAAAAACCCAGACATTCCGTTTTTGTAATACTTTACTCAATAGTAAAACCAATAACATTCCAAACTGATGTCAC